TAACCCTACATAGATGCTTTTTTTCTGACACATACATACTTGTGATAAAATTTAGTTAACAAATTAGGCACAGAAAGAGATTATCGATAATAAATAACAAAATAGAAAAATTATAGCAATATGCTGTGATAAAAGAATATCTTATCATACTGCAAACACCTATTTTTGGACTGCAGAAAGCAAACCCACAGACAAGGAAGACTATTTGGACTGAATTTTGTTTCCTGCAGAGTCTCTGAGAATTATCATGTTTCAAAACCTTCTACATGTGTCATGATCTATAGACACAAAGATCCTACAAGCAGTATTAACTCATCTTATAAACGAAGACATGTAATTTAGACAAGCAAGATACCCAAAGTCACACTCTCAGTGAGTCACAGAATTGAGATTCAAACTCCAGGCTTTCTAACATGAGTCATTTTCTTTGTTTCATTTAAACTTATGAACACATTCTATTTATATTTTTATTGCAAATACTAATTTCATTTAAATATGAGTTAGATTTTACATCAGCTGTCTTATGGACATATTAAGCCCAAGACCTCATTTTGAAATAGATTTCCCAAAATTCACAAAGAAACTGCTAAACTCAAGAACAGCATGCCTGTAATGATTATACTGAAAACAGAAGACCCATTCAAAGCAAGGATACAACTTGATAATCTGCTCTTGCTTGGTGTTAACACTAACTCTTCTTTACTCTTCAGTTTTTTGTTTGTTTGTTTGTTTGTTTTGACAGACGTCCTTGGTTGCAACCCAACAACCATTCCCAATAGCCTTATCTTTATCTTTTTACACTTGAAAGGCTAATTTTCCCAGACTCTTTTGCATGTACATGTGGCCCAGGTCTGGTTAATGAAAAGTGAAATGTTTCCTTCACTTACAAAAGCAAAGAACCACAGCTGTTTGCCTCTGTTTCTTTCTTCAAGCTTGAAACAATGATTCAAGCTTGATTCCTGGTATCCTAGCTGCCATATTGTGACCATGGGCCAACATACCCAAGGTTGCTAGATTTAGCAAATAAATATATAAGATGCCCAGTTGAATTTTATATTTTAGATTCTGAATAAACTTATAGTATGTCCCAAATATTTTATAGCATATGCTAAAAAGAGTATAATAATTTGTAGATATTACACTCACCTAAAAACATGTAAATAAAAATAAGGAACTGCTAGAGTCAGCTTAAACATCGAGTTCATTCCACAAACTCTCAAATTACTGAGTTTTGTTGTTGCTTTATTAAACACTGAATGGATTTTTAAACATAGAAAATATGTACATAACATTAAAAAATACACTTGTTAATTGTTGCCCAGCCTAAGAACAAACACCTCAAAAGCAACCTCTATCTGGATTTTGTTTAAACTTCCTGTGCCTTTTAAATAATTTTCTTGCTTTCCTTTGCTTATCTTTATCGCTTTTGAAAGATTAGGAATTTAAATAAGACCTTTGCTTTTTAAAATGCACTAAAGATAGCCTGGCACTCTTCCTCTCCCCAACCCCCAAATTACAAGTGTAAGAGAATGATGCAAAATTTAAAACAAGAAGGAGATCTTTACCTTGGTCATCAGAAAGACATGACAAAGGTTGATCTTTTCAAAGCTGGTTATGTTTTTAGATAAACAGAGGTACGTGACAGACCAACATGAGAAGGAGTCTGAGATGTTGATCTTTTGCATGTTTTTAGGGATACAAGCTCCACTACAGTTCCTGAAAGGGCTTCCCAGTGTAAGCAGGCAGACCCCGGCCCCCGCCTTCCTCCTGCGATCCCGCATACGCTCTCTCGCTAAACGACTCTTCACACGGTTATCTCCTCATGGGATGCCTCTGCTGGGCGCCTGCACCCTCAGCTCTGCTTTTATCTCTACGCATCTCAACGCGCTGTTTCCTCCACTCCTGACGCCAGGGTGGAAGGAAGCCATCCCTCCGGCCCGCGCTGGGACTGGCAGCCACTGAGTGATTGGCAGCGGGCACCCCCGTTCAGCGCTGGCATGCCGCAGGGTGGGGGCCCTGTGCTAATGAATGCCATCTACACCTACCAGATGTGCCGCGGGTGCCCTGCCAGGTCTTTTACATAATGCCTGCTGCGGACACAAGACGGCTAGCGGCGGGTGGCTTCTGATGCCTTGGGGTGGACGTGGGGGTCTGACTTTATTTACTCTATATTCAGACCACCCACCACTGCCCACACTCCCCATCAGCTTCCTTTACATGGGTCTAAAGTCTCTGACTCGGGGCGTGGCTCTCAGAGATGGATCCACGCTAGAAAGTCTGAGTTCCCAGGACGTCCCCACATTACCTCCCCCACGCTCGCCTCCTTTCCCTCGCCCGTTCCTTCTCTCACACCCGCCCCTCCCCCACAATTTCACCTCCTCCATGCCCCTCTGCCACACTCTACCTCCCCCACGCTCGCCCCTCCCCCGCACTCTCAACTCTCCCACACTTACCACTCCCTCACATCCACCTCCTCCCGCGACTCTCACCTCCCCCATATTCACCCCTTTCCCCACGTTCATCCCCTCCCCCGCATCCACGGGGGCCGCAGGCTCTCAACTCCCCCCATTCATCCCCTCCCTCACACTCACCTCTCGCAAAGTCACCCCCTCCCCCAGGTACCCTCTCCGGAACACTCACCTCTTCCCCTCCTCACCCCCCCACACACATTCATCACTCCCTAGAATTTGTTCCCTGCTCCCATCAGACTCAGGAAAGGGAAATGGTTTTCAACGTTAAAGTTAAAGAAATACAAGCACTAGAAGGACCCGAAATGAACAGACAGGGGAGAGAAACCGCACTCCACTCTCGCCCCCTCTCCCATGTCCTGTCTCCCTAGGCTAAACGTGTCAGGATGGGCTCCCTACGCCCCCCCAACCCCCACCCCCGCCCTCCGCAGCCTCTCTAGCTCTCCCCTCGTCCAGGTCCACGGGAAGCTGGAGTGTCTATCACCAAGGGTGACATCCTGCCAGCGTCTGTCCCACGTGTGGCTGAAGTAGCTGTCTTAGGGTGGAGGCGTCCACAGATCCACGCCACTTGGAGAGGAGTGTTTCCTGGAGTGGGATGGACCAAGTGGGAGGAAAGGGAAATGAAGAAACCGCTTCTGGCGGACGGCGGCGCGCGCTCTGGGAGTGTTTTGGGTCTCTCCGCCCGCCTCCCCATCCCTAGGGGCGCACGGCTAGGCTGGGGCGGCTGCCAGGCTGTTCCCCGCTCGAGCACTAGACCTGCCAGCCGGGCGGCCCTGGCGTCTGCGGGACTCGAGGAGGGCAGGCCTCTGCGCCTCTTCCCAGGGTCATGCACCCACACTCCCTCCAGGACACACTCGCACGCGCCCTGGGCCACCGGGCCCCGCGCCATGCTCACCCCTGCCGGGCCCTCGCTCCCACCCACCCCGCCCGCCACGAGGCTCCAGATGGCGGCTCCTCGCACTCGGCTCGCGGCCCCCAGACGCCGCCCGGCAGCAGCCGGCGGTCGTTCCCTCCCTCCCAGCTGCTGCGGAGAGAACGGGGCCGCTGTGCGAAGCGGGCGAACTCCTCGGCGGGATCTGGCAGGGAGGGAGCGCGGCCACAGGTGGCGCCGCCGAGGGGCCCGCAGGAGCGGCGCTCGGGGGATGGAGCCCTTGGTAAGGGACCCATGGGAGGGGGGCAAGGGGAAAGGGGGGGGAGGAGCCCGAGGAAGGAGCCGTAGCCCCAGGTGAGAGACCGGGGGCTGAGTGAGGAGTAAGGAAGGCGGCAGTAGGGAGCCCGAGGAAGAAGTCCCGCAGCCCGAGGTAAGGGAACCGGGCGGGCAGGGGAGGAGGAAGCCTGGGAAAGGAACCTCGCAGCCCCAAGTAAGGGACACGGAGACGCAGGACGGGGAGGTGGGAGCCCGCGGGTGCCCGGGCCGCAACCCC